TGTCTTAAATTATTTTTAAAATTAGATGCTTAATTAGTGCTTTTCTTATTTTTATTTCTTCTATCTTTGTTTTTTTAAAAAATATTGTTTATAATATATAAGATAAGACTTAAATTTTTTTTCTTTTAATTTTTTTTATGCTATTATAATAAATACTTTTTGTATTCTTTTCTAAAGACTTGCTTGTTTCTTATATGATGCTAAATATTCTTGCATTTTTTTAACTTTGTTTTGACAGACTCTTTTTTTGATATTAAGGTAAAGCTTTGCTCCTATCTTGATTAGTTTGACAGACTTAATATTTTGCAATTGTATATATATCTAGACTTCCTCTGTTAAGTTTTTTCAAGATCAGAAGTTTGTTTAATACATATTTTATAAAAGTACTTTCTTTTATATTACTTTTTGTCATATAATATACTTATTTAGATAACTTTAATTTTTTTTAAACATATGTCTAATTATAGATCATTATATTATTTAAAGAAACAAATAAAAAAGAAATTAAAAACAAAATAACTAATAAAAAAACTCTATATTAAAAGTAAAAAAAAGATTTAAATAATTATTAAACAAATATGCAATACAAAAATATATAGATATAGTAAGAAAAACAATATAAAACACTTTTTATAACTAAATATGAAAAGTTTTATATAAAAGAATACAAGAATAAGAAAAAAACTCTAATATAATAAATAAACTAAAAAAAAAATATCAAAGTAAAAAAAAAAATAAGAAAAAAAAATAAAATAAATAAAATAAATAAAGAAAAAAACTTTGAAAATAATTAATATACTTGTTATAAAAAAGAAAAAAGCTTTCTAATATGACTTTAAGTAGTTATACAAGCAGTCTATCTTTAAGATAGTATAACAAATTGTACTTAAATATTAATAGAATGGCTAAGTAATGCTAAACTTATATATTAGAATATTTTATATAATTATGTATATATATAATTTCAAGAATTTTAATAAAATATTATTGTAATTACTTAAAATTAAAAAAATATATATAAAAGATGTAGTGACCTAGTGAAGTGGTCAGGTTGTTAACTCTTCAAGTGGTAGGTTGGATGTTCAAATCTCATTAATAACAAAAATTTAAATAATCACCTATATAATATTTGTATTATAGCAACTGTTATTAATAATTAGATTAAAATATCTGTAATGATAATTGTATTAGCATGATTAGCAAGTCATAAGACATCTGTGTAGTTATATAGAGGAATGCAAACTGATAATCAAATAGTGCAAATACTAGATAAGTTCTTATAACTATGTAACTCTGTTAAAATTAAGTAACAAGAAGTTTATTTAAGAAAATTTAAATAAAAAGATAGCCAGATCTTCAATGATGCTACTGTAAAAACTAGTTTAAGAAAACAAATACCAAGATCATAATATTTGGTCATAGTACTTAGACAGGCAAGAACTTTTGAATTAGAAGTTTTAGAGGTATTACCAACTAAACTATCAGAATAAATCAGAAGAAAAGAATATTAGACTAATTTAATATACCAATAAACTAATTATAGTTTTACACAAGCTATTTGAATTTGAAGTTTGGTAAAAAGATGGATAAAAAGGCAGAGATATATTAAAGTACTAAGTTTATGCTATAAAGTAGATGCTAGAATCTATGTAAACTCTACAAAAGCATAGTAATTAAATAATATAACTGAGAGTGTAGTGATCTAGTAAAGTGGTCAGGTTGTCAACCTCCAAGTAGCAGGTCTAGAGTTCAAATCTTATGAATGATGAATTTTGAAAAATAAAATCTGTGTTATGGTAACTGTCTGTCGATTGGTTGGATTTGTGTATCTGTAATCTTTGTTGCATTATTTTAAATAGAAGCTTGAGGCATCTATGCAAATTGTAATGTTACACCTATATAGAGAAATGTTAATAACCAGTGTTGCATAAGATTTTAGTGCAAACACATGATAAGACCATTGGGCATAAAAAGCAAAGGAACTAAAAAAGTCAGAAACCCACTTAGAAATTCCAAGTAAAGAAGTAGCATGGACTTTTGACAGTACTACTGAACCATTAGAAGCTCCTAAAAAAGGATTACTAGAACCTCAGATGGATCAGATGACAACATGTATAGAGGAGCACATACCAACCAGACTGTCAGTTTACTGGACAAACCATCTAAATTGGTAGTTTGTAAAGTCTTGTAGGTCTTGTAGGTTTAGAAGTAGGAGTGTGGAAGTTAGAAAAGGAAGGTATCAAAGTCTCTGTGAACTTTACAAAAGTATAGCGATTTAATAATTAGCCTTGACTGCAAGTGATGGTCTAGGCCAGAGCAGTACTGGGTCAGCTATAAGTATAGGATACAAAAGGCTTCAGTAGGCTTAGTATAAAGTTAAATATGACTTAGTGACTATGGTATATTTGCAGCAATGGCTGCAGTTAATAGAATAAGATGTGGATACAGGAACTAGAGTGTTTAAATAAAAAACCCACAGGCAGGTTCTAAGTATAGCAACTAGTGTAGAACCTTTAGATGAACTAATTAAAATAAACAATAACTAAAGTTGTACAAGTGGCTAGTTATACACTCTTTTCATGATTGCCTCTGTAGCTGTTGTACACAATAATTATATGCTGACTAATTATCAATAAACTTCTGGGTCGCAATTACTCACCTTAACATTAAAAAAAAAAAAATAAATGATATAACTCTAATTACAAGTATTGATTTTATTATAGCAATATCTAGATTAGCTATAAAAATATATATAGAAGGCTCTAAGAGGTTTATCTCAAAAATAAAATAGTCCTAAGGTTGAGACAATAATCTGAGCATCTGGATATAATTCAGTAATATTAATACAGTTTGCAAGTTCAGAAAGTTTAAAGTAAAACACCCAAGCAAAAATGTTAGATATAACAATTAGTAAGAAATCTTTAGACAGATTCTTTAAATAAGTAATATAGAAAAGTTATATATGTAGCTAATTGTATGCTCTTCTGTAGTAATTTATAAAATTATATTATTAAAAAACTTATTAATAAAAGTCAAAAAACCAAAAAGGTTATTTTAATACTAAAAAAAACATATATAAATTATTTTATACTCTTTTTGATAATCATTTGAATCAAATTTTTCAAAAAGCTGAACTATAGAAAAATAATATAGTTAATATATTAAACTTTATATAAAAACTTTTTAGAGTACTATATACATATAGTTGAACATTAAAACAGAGTTAAAAAAAATGTTAAAGCTGTAATAACAGTTTAAAAATGCTTTAGAACTATAAAAGAAGTAGTTACTAAAAGCCAAAATTTTTTATTAATAAACAACAAAGTTGGATATATTATTTTTATACAATTATAAAACCTATAAAAAACATTTAAAAAGGTCAAAAACTTATAAAAACTACAAAGTTGGTTTATCTTTTATCTCACTTTTCTTAAGAAAATATTGCAAAAAGTAAATATTTAGTTTATCTTCTTCTAAAGATTAATATATAAAATTACTAAAACAATTAGCAGTATTTACTTTCTAAATAGATTTGTTAATAACATAGATTAAAAATATTACAGTAATATAAACATAATTATACATATGCTTTGAGTTACTAGAAATTTGCTAATACTGTTTTTGAACTAATCAGTGCTTTATACCAACCTTTTATAACCAAGTTTAAGTTTTTTTTTATATGGTTTTTTGTTAAATAATTTAAGTAAATAGAAAAATAGTAAAGTTATTTTTATTTAGTATAGTTTATAATTTTTAAAAAGCCTAATATAGGCTTATAATTGTAATTATTTAATATTTGTAAATTGCAAGTTTTATGTATTTTCTTTTTTTCTTATCTATTATTTTTTATTTTTTATTTTTTAATTTATATTTTTTATCATTTATTTCTATATCTCAGATTTTTTTTTATATAAAAATATTTTTTGTTTTTGGCTTTCTTATAAAAAGATATCATCAAATTGACAATATCCTATTATAGAGCAGTAGTCAAACAAGCAGTCTATCTCTAACTAGAATAGTGCAATAATAGCACTTAGGTACTAAGTGGCCAAGTAATGCTAGACTTGTATATTAGAAAAATCTATGTAATTTGTATAGTTTCAAGAATTCTAATAAAGTATTAATATAACTGCTAAAGTTAAAAAAATATATATATATATAGGAATAAGTCAATAAAAAAGTAACAAATTATTTTTAGTAAAATTTTTTTAATTTTTAAATTTAAATAACTTAACAACTATTTAATTAAATCTGCTAAAAATTATTTTATTTTAATCTTAAAATTATATAGAATTAAATTTATCAAATTTAATAAAATACTTGTTAAGATATTTAAGCTTAAAATTAAAAAACTTTTATTTGAAAAAAATTTGTCTTTTTTCTATTAACTTTTTTATATATATATAAAATTATTAAGGGTAAATTTATTTAGTACATGATGTGATATATATTATATGCTGCCTTTATATAAATCACATGATACTAAATTTATATTATATACAATATATTAATATAATTAAAAGTTTGCTTATATGATATATCAAATCTAATCCTAAATATATTATATTTTATTTTGCTAATCAAGATGGTTATTATAACCACTATTTTTGATACTACAGTAAATATATAATACAATATACTATTTTTAATACTACAATAGAAGTAGAATTTGATTGTTAATTAGGAAAGTTCAATTATATGTAGTAAGACTATAATAAATAATATAAGTTAAGAGCAAAATAATTCAATTTGCTCTTAGTTTGTTTAATATTAGGCTGCTTAAAGTTAAATAGACTGTTAATAACAATAGTCAATATTTAAGATTCAGCAAAGAAGATCTCAGAATGACTTATATTACAACACGTTTAAATTAGTCTTTCAAGTAAATTAAAAATAAAACACTACTGCACTAACACTAGTTAACTGAACAGCCTAGCTATTATAGTAGACTTCTAATTACATTGCATTTTCCTTATTAGGGCATTTAGGAGCATAATAACTTAATTTATGCATAATCTACATCTATGTCTAGTTTCACCATCACTGTCAGCAGTATCATAAGATGCCTGTTGTTTTCTATTACTACTAACCTTATTTGTTTTTTCATTAAAAGCTTTCAATCATTTATTTGGAGATCTATCTTTACTACTGTGTACTACTAGATCTTTAATATTATCATATACTTGATTTTCTTCAACAGATACTGGTTGAGTTTGAATATTTCAAACTTCTTTTTTAGTAATGTAGTTTAAGATAAGTTCATCCAAGGCATTTTAATCATTATCTTCTATTAAGTAGCTTAATGCTTTCTTAAAATGACCTATTAAATAACCATAATCTATTTTTTTTTGTAGATGATTTCGGATCTGAATTTCTTGAACGTTATAATAATACCTGGGAATAAGTTTTTGTGTGTTATTATTACCTTGATGTTGCAAAGATAATGTGCCAATAAATGGCTCATCATATATTGAATTAATATATCTTCAAGCATCATCATGTAACCATCTTGTTGGCATTAATATAATATAAAATAATGTATTCGCATTCTCCACCATTAACTTGAAATAGTAGCAGCAAATAACTCTGTGTGAAACTAACAATAGACATGTGCACAAATATGTACCATCATTAAGCATAACAATATGTTGGTACAAATTTGATGCCATGTATGGAATAACCTTCCAGACTTCTTTAATTGCCTCTTTTGAGACTGATTTTAAAAGTTCTTTTAAACATGTTTGTCGATAATCATAAAAATCTTCAATGTTTTCTGTTATTTCTTCATTATGACTCTGATCCTAGTGTAGAAATCCTTACATTATAACTAAATGCAATGCACAAAAAAAAAAAAAAAAACTTGCCTTCTGACTATTAATTAGTTCATTTTCATCTGAATCTAATTGACCTTCAAGAGCATGATCAATATCCAACTTTTCACATTTGTATAGTACCGATTCACATATTTGTTTGTTAATTTCTTCAACAATTCATAATGTGAAGTACTTTCGAATTATATTATTAACATTACTAAAAAGCTGCTCAATGATAAATGATTGATGATTACTTATTGATTTGTGCTTCCATTCTATAAAACTTTTATTTAATTTTTTCCTTTGAATATGAAGCTCTAAAGCTTCAACTACATCTGACATACTAGAGCTAGAATCAACTGCTTTATGAATAATAGTATTAATTGATTCAACATGTAAGGTAGATTGCATGCCTGCTGTAAATATTCTACTTATAAATGATTTAGCTCATGATTGCCATGTTGAATAAATAGGATAACTCAAATATTTGTTGGCACTTGGATACTTTTCTAGTAAAGATTAAAATTGGTACTCAAAAACTTCAATACTTAAAGAATTCTGTGCTTTTCAAAAATCACAAATAAATTCTTTAAAATTTTCACTTCCAAGTTTTGCCTTAAGCTGTCTAAGCAAATTTTGAGACAGATGCCAGATATAGTGAATATAATAAGAATTCATATATTTTACTTGACATGCCACATCCATTGCAAGATCCATATCGGTCATTATAACTCATGACTCAGAACCAGTTGCATCCAAGGTTTGTTGTAGGACCCATTCATAGCTTTTCTGAGTTTCATCGCTTAAAAATGCCTGTGCTGCCAACCATAATTTACCATCATTATTAATAAGAATGAATAAGGATAGAGAAAAATTATATTTATTGGTTCTTAAAGTATTGTCGTGTAAAATGATATCAGAGTATCGAGACTATAACATAATTTGGTTTGCTGTTATCCAAAAAATACCACTTAGCTGATTACTATCTGTATTTATTAATAGTTGAATGAACATTGTAGGATCTTCTTTTTGCTGTTCAAATAGAAATTTTAGTAAGTGTGATGCATCAGATCCAACAACATTTTTTTTATGCTTGATTTTTTGGATTGCGTTTGATAAATCTTGTATAAGAAAAAGTTGATCAGAAAACAAAGATTGTAATAAATTTCTTATGGTATAAGCATCGCAATGACTATATACAACTGCACATTCAATTTTATTTATTATAGACTCATCAAATTTTCAAAATGCTATGGCAAATCTCAAATTATCAGTACTAATATTATGGTTATGCTTAAGATATACAAGCATTATGTGCACAAAATTGCTGGTTTCCAGGTTACTCAAGTTAACACACCATTTACAGTTAGTTTTTTTTGATCCTTTGTTACATTGTTGCTCTATCAGTTTTGTCTTGTTAGGTTTATACTTTCTAGCATTCTTACATATATATGTTCTTTTTTTAACAGGATCATTTAATGGAGTCAAATAAGATTTGTGATATTCAACTCTATACCGGTTTACTACAAATCCTTTCTGGCAACTATACTTCTTTAAGTAGTGCTCTGTGATTGTCTAAGAATTAAATTGTGTTCTAACAGATAATTCTATAGGTTGATTTATATTAAGGTCAAGACCTTCTAACTTCAACCCAAAAACAGGTATATTAATTTCACTATTGCTTTCAAGAGTTATAGAGCCTAAAAAGCTAAGTGTTAATAATTTACTATATTGTTATACTTTCTGATTAGTACATTAAACTAACCTTGATTAATTTCTCTAGTTTCATTTTTCATATTTTCGTCTTCTATATTTTTACCTTCTACAGCTTCACTAACTTCACCTTCTATATCAACAAGCTCAACTTTTATATCACCACTTTTCACAGATTTATCTTTTACAAGTTCGACTTCTACATGTTTGTCTTCTTTAAACTTATCTTCCAAAGGTTTGAAAGCTTCACCTTCTACATGCTTGGTTTTCATATATATAATTTTCACATATTTATTTTTCGTAGTTTCATTCTCTACATGTTTGTCTTTCATCAATGTACCAAACCTAGGTTTATCTTGCAGCATAGAGTTATCTTCAAATAGTTTCTTGAAACATGCAAGCAAGAGGTTTGTAAAAAAAGTATACATATTTTAACTCTCTGCAAAAATCAACCATATCATTATTTACTTACATATAACTATAAGTTCTTAATTAACTTTCTATTTTATATGGAGTACAGAGATCTTTGTTTATTGCTGTATTGTTTATGTATGTTCATACGTAAGAGTATTTTAGCAAAAGAAAAAAAAAAAAAGCATTGTCTCTCTTTATATTTGTTTACCTCCTGCACGATTAAACTCTGTTGTGATCATTGTAATACAATCGCTAATATTCCTAATCTCTGATCTGTATTATAATGCAATATACTGCATCCTGTTTTAAATAAATTTACCCAATTATTAATATATAATAATTATAAATAATTTGGATTTAGGTTACAGATAATGTTATTTAAGCTTTAATTCTTGTATATAATTTTTATTTTGTATTTTACAATCTTAGTATATATATATATATATATTTTTTTTTTTTTTTGCTAAAATCATTAGTTATCAGCAGCTATTGCCTTTATTGTAATTTTAATTATGATTATATAACTTATACAAAGTTACTTTTATATTATATCTAACAGATAATATACAAGTTTTTATATACTGAAGTGCTATTTAACCTAACTCTGACCTCTCTGTTTGTACATTTGTCAAATTATTACATATTTTAAAATATATTACCTAACTGTAAGAGGTTTCTTTGCTAACTAACTACTCCTATTTAATCCTTGAGAACAGGGCTTATTTTTGCAAAGTTTATTCAAACCTCAGTACTGACTTCATAGCATACTTCTAGTACTTTGCTATACCCTGCTTTAGTTCTCAAACTCTTAATTCAGATAGTTCAAAAGAACTATGACCTGTCTTTGATATTTCAAAAGTTTGTCTTCTAAGATTCTTTTTCTTTAGTTTTAAGACTTCTAGCAATCTGGTTGATGGTACTTTTTATTTGAGATTCTTACTTGTCCAATTCTTTCTATATTAATATTTATTTTCTAGGTCTAGCCTTTACAGTAGTACTATTGAAAATCTGTACTACTTCTTTGCTCAGGACTTTCTAAATAGGCTTTAGCTTCTTAGTTCTATGAATTTATATGACCACAAGAACTTATTTTGAGTTTGCACTACTCAATGCCAGTTTGCATTTTTTTGTATAACACTAATATTGCACAGATGCTTTATGATCTGTTAGTTATACTAATATAATCATAGTTATAGATATTTTATATTAACTAATTAACAGAATGCTATTACTATAATACTGTCTATATATTATATAGCTAATTATCAAATTTTCACTATTAGTAGGTTTTGAACTTACTATCTACTACTTGAGAGGTTAACAACTTATTTACTTCACTAAGTTACCATATCTCTATCTTAGTATATTTTTAATATAAAGTATATTAATATATACAACTAAAATTACTAACAAAAATACAAGCAAGGTTTCATCTTAATACTAAAAAAAATTATAAATGATTATAATTATTTTTGATTAGTTATAATTTATATAAATTTTATTAAATTTTTCTAAACTTTAAATTTAATTTTCTTAATAACTAGTAATTCAAATTAGCTTAAAAGTTTACTGTAAATACTATATATATTCAACTATATTATTTTAAAGTTTTAATTAATTTAAATTAATAATTCTTGAAAAATTACTTGTAAATAATAATTAATTTTTTTAAAAAAATCAACTATTATTTATAATAATTTTTTAAGAACTATTAATCTAAATTGACTAAAACTTTAGTATATATAATATAGTTGAATATATGTACTATTTATATTAAAAATTTAAACTAATTTAAGAATAAGAGCAAGTATTTTAAAATTATATATAAACCTAATAGTAATTTTTTTTTATATTTAATTTTATAAAAAATTATATTAAGTAAACTAATTTTAATTATTAAATAAAACTTATAAAGTAAGTCTTTCTAATTCTAATAATTGTAAATTATTATTATTTTTTTAATTTTAAGGTAAGTACTTGCAATTCAAAAGTTTATTGATAATCTGTTAACATATAACTATTGAGTATAACAGTTACAAAGGCAATTATAAAAAGAGTATACAATTAGCCACTTATACAACTTTAGTTATTGTTTATTTTAAGTAGTCCATCCAAAAGTTCTACACTAGTTGTCATATCTAAAACCTACCTATAAGTTCTCTATTTAACTATTCTAGTTTTTATATCTACTTCTATATTACCAATTGCAGGTTAACTGCAAATATGCTATGATCACTAAGTCATATTTAATCTTGTACTAAGCCTACTAAAGCTTTCTGTATTTTATACTTACAGCTAACTTAGTACTGCTTTGGCCTAGACCATCATTTATAGTTAAAACTAATTATTAAATTGCTATATTTTTGTAAAGTTTACTAAGATTTCTGATACCTTTCTTTTCTAACTTTCACTCTTTATTTTAAATCTATAAAACTTTACAAATTACCAATTTAGATAGTCTAATATGGTATTCTAAGATTCTTTTTCTCTGATAATTTCTGGTAGCCTAGTTGGTATATGTTTCTCTACACATATTGTTGTCTGATTTATTCTAGTTATTCTTTTTTAGAGCCTTCTGATAGTTCAATAGTATCATTAAAAGTTCATGTCACCTCTTTACTTAAGATTTTCAAGTGAGTTTCTATACTTCAGTTTCTTAGTATTATGAACCTAATGGTCTTATCCTAGATTTGCACTAGAGTCTTATACAATATTAGTTATTAACATTTTTTTATATATATGTAATATTATACTTTACAAAGATGTTCTGAAGTTCTATTTAAGATAGTATTACTAAGATTACAGATTATTTCTTCTGTTTAATTGATCAACAAGATACAGTTATTATAACACAGTTATTATAACATAATTATAATTTTCAAATTTCATTATTTATGAGATTTGAATACTAAATCTGCTACTTGGAGATTAACAACCTATAAACTTCACTAGGTTATTTCATTTTTTGATAGTAAAATTATTAAAATAAATTAAAAACTCATTGAAATATAAATTTTTAAAGATTAGAATATAAAATTATAAAATAAAATTAACTAATAGTATAATAAAATTTACTAAAAACTAGCAAGCTGTAGTAATTTAAATGCACAAATGCTGAATAGAAAATCTTTTATTTAAAAGAAAATAAAATAAATAAAAATAACTAAAAATAAGAAATAAATATTTAAAAGTGGAATTTAAATTCAATAGCCTTCTAGACACTATAAAATACAACAATAGGACTAGCTTTTAAACTAATCCTATTGTTCAGTCTGTGCAGATCGAGCATAACAAAATGTTTACTCAGTACAAAAATTATTAGACTTTAAAATTTAGAAATGTCTGTAGAATATAACCAAAAAAAGAAAAGCCTTAATAATCAGACTATTTATAGCTATATATAGTCTTTAAATTCTAATAATATAAAGCTAGTATTTGCCAAATAACTAATTAAGAAAACTAGCTATTTATTTTATATTATTACAAGAAAAAAAACAATAAAATAAATAATATAAAACTAGTATTTGCCAAATAACTAATTAAAAAAACTAGCTTTTTACTTTATATTATTATAAGAAACAAAAAGAAAAATAAAAGAAATAAAGATAAAATATAAAGAAAAATAAAATAAAGAATAAAATAAATAATAGTTTTTATAAATAATATATAAAGAATAGTAGTTAAAGATTATTTTATTAAAAAGTTGTTGGTTAAATAATTATTATAAGAAACTTTTTATATATATAAAAACAGAAATTTCAAGAACTGTTAAAAGCTATTCAAAAACTTTTAAGAACTGTTAAGAACTTTTAAGAACTATTAAGAGCTGTTCAAAAACTGTCTTTTTAGAAGGACAAAAAGCTATCCTTTTAATAGTTTTTAACTTAATAATTGATTAGTTTTAGAGCTACCATGTGTTGTAACATCATTCTGGACCATATGAACATTCAAAATGCAGCAGAAATTAAGAAATTCCATATGTATTTCACTAATAATATTTGTATACAAATGATAAACCAATCCTGTATCTTTTTATTTTTACCAATGATTAATACTCTATTATGCAATAATTTATATATTAATTAAAAATAAAACAAATATCATTGTATAGCCTATATGTTCATCTACAAAACTTTCTATAGTCATTTAGCATTCAGAAGCTTTCTTACAGATGTTGTCCTAAGCACAACTAAAAATAACTATAGTAGTATATAGAAACTATATAGTAACACTATAGTAAATATTGTATTATAATTAATAAATATTAA